AGTTATGCCAACTTAGCGACAAAAAGAATTTTGACAATTCCTTTAAGCGGGCTTTTTAAATGATCAATTCCCGGTACTTTTTTGACAGAATGTATATATACTGGAATGGACATCTCCGTTGCGAAGCATAGAAAATCGTGGCCGCAATTGATCAGCCGCCATTTTGGCTGGGTCAGATGCTTGAGCGAATCAGAAGCTTTCATGTGCTCATGCGCACTTACGTTTAGTGTTCTTTAGTAAGACGCATATGAGGCAGTGATCGTTTACCGATGTGATCGGACGTGTTATTGCGTCATCATTTTTGGAAAGTATGACTTCAAACGCGCAATTGAGTTCATGTTACTCTTTTAGACTTTCGTATTCTGCATATTCTCACGCGAAGAAGAAGTAAGATGCATATGTCAGCAAGATTGTCGCGTGTGAGGTTATATTTGAAGGATTATAAAATCGCGTGACTGTCTACAAAGCATCAACATAAAGTGCTGTGTGCCTGGGTGTGGGCAGAGAAGTAAAAAGGGCCTTTCATTTCATAGGTAAAAATAATTAAAGTGACATTATTTTTGTTTATATACTATTCATGCCCATATAGATTTCCATACATCGATAGTACATCGATCGATACATCGATCGCAACGCGCGTGCTAACGCTTCTGATTCACTCAAGCATCTGACCCAGCCAAAATGACGGTTGATCAATTCCGGCCACGAATTTTCCTCGATGCCCATTCCAGTGTATATATAATTCAGTGTCGGTGCTACGGTTTTCGATAATAAGTGCGTAGCGACGACGGTGACACTCTCGCTACTCGTGGGTGCGGACGTCGACGGTAACTTGTTAGTATCGACAGGTTGAACGGAATTATCAAAATGCAACAACGTGTGATGCCGTTTACTACACTGTCAACACGCGCGAGTACAATCTTTCACGGAATGCTTCGTATTGAAACAGTTTACACAGCACTTCTGATTTTTAATGAATTCAAAACGTTGGGATGGAGTTTGCTTTAGGAACGTAGAACATTAATACAATAGATGATTCGCTTTGCACAATGCACATAAGAACTGAACGGTAGACATGGTATGTGAGGCGAGAGTTCCCTTTTTGGAGGTCGTCGGTGATTTCTCTGTTGCGTTCGCAGGTGCAATCGCGTCGAACGCGCGAATGCGCGATGCAAGAAGTTGATCAAGTTCACGATAACGCGGGTAATCTACGGTATCGCCGAGTTTAAGTTCCCAAGCTTTTTGTGATGACTTATCGAGTTTTTGTGACACTAGAAAAACAAGTCAATCATCCCAATGTTTGGTAGCGCAACCGAGATTGCTCAGAGTTTGTATCGCTTTATTGGTTTGATCGCGAAGCGTGCGAAGATCTTTGGAGGTTTCTGTTGCGAGCGATGGTAAATTGAAAAGCGATTGTAAATATATCATAATAAGGCGACGTTTATTGTCGTACCAGGAAACGAGAATATTCCACGCGATATCGAAATTATCATTGGTTACTGCGAGGTGGTCTAGGCTTGCATCCCCTTTTACACAGGAAGACAAATAATGCATGCGCTCGACATTCGTTAAACTCTGATCATCATGGATCATCGATTTAAATTTATCGTGAAAGCTTTCCCATTTGTCAAAACTCCCGTCGAAGGTCAAGTTGATTCTCGGAAGATGCGACGATGACCAGAACGAATTATTAAGGTTACTTACGTCAGATGCAGCGGGACGGGGTTCGCTGACGTCGTGCCAGTCCAGTATCTCAGCCATGTAGTCAGCAGCTTCGTGGTAATAGTCCTCACACTTCAGGAAGTAGTTCTGGGTAAAGTATGCATGGGTTGTCTTTAATTTCTTGTCTTTAATTTCACGCAGCTGGCGTGATTTTACAATCCAGCTCTTGGCAAAGGTCTCTTTGAGAGTTTCGAGGCGTTGCCGCGTTATGGCACGTGTCATCTTGGCCTGTTCCAGCTTCTTAAAATTAATGAGGGATATGGCGCCCATCTATTGGTTTTGTATACTTATCAGTTCTGTTGGAAATCATGTCGAGAAACGACATGATTTCCAACAGAAAAGGCACAACTCGGAAAGTGCGAAAATCAAGCAAAAACAATAACTTTCCTTGGCGACGATCCGGCTCGAAAGATCAAAATATGTTGTGTGTTTGTGACGCTGGTGTCACCTTGTATAGAAGGCTCGCTCGCCAAGGCGGCTGTAATAACGATGACTCTCTTGGTTGTAATAATTTAACTTTTATTGTCGAATTAAAATATGTTCGAAGCGGGCAATAGACGATACTCGTAATCCGATAATTGATGCATTCGATTAGATGCGCGCACAGGTAATTCGCACTCGGCACGACGTTAAGTAATTCCTCGCAACCGTTAAAGGAACGTATGTGGCGAGTAGTAACGAGACCGGCAAATCTCGCCGGATACGCTGGTAATTCTCGCGCGCTGAATGCCCTCGCGGTACTCATATACCGGTAACGTTACGTGACATAATGCAACGGTGATACGCAACGACAATTCGGTTTGGTTTGCTATTAAGGCTCGAACTAAGATTCGTGAAGAACGAATATCGATAACTGATCCATATTGATCGAGATCGGGAAACGAACTAAACTATCATAAGCGGACCGTGTACGCGATAGTCAGCTTTTCGAGGGTGGCGTTAGGGGGGTCGTGTGCCATCTGAGATATAGGTGTTGAACTTAATTCCTGCCATTTTTTCGTCTCCAAAATTGATTTGTTTCGCAGGAAAGATGAATGAATACCTTATCAAAGTAATTTCCTCCATTTTCTACTACTTTTTCCCATCTCTCTGGCAACAGGGCAATCCCACGACGGTAGAACGC